CATTACGAACATACGCACACTCATACGCGCTCCCGCGAGCGAGAGCGCGCAACGCGCAACGTAACCGCGCCAATATGCGCGCATGCATAATGCCAAGCATAACCGAGTGGTTTATTTATAACGGCGCGGAAATACACTCGGTGTGCCTTTATTGTAAAACGTTGTGTAACGACGTTGTGTAACGTAATTGCACGATAGTACGGCGACGCGTATGCGAGAGTGGCGCATGCACTTGTCTTCCCCCCTCCCCTGCCACTTCCACCCACCCACCCACTCCTCCTCCTCCCTCTGTCCTTCTCCCTCTCCCTCCCTCCCTCTCTCTCTCTCTCTCCCTCTCTCTCTCTCTCTCTACTTCACTTGTTCTTGTTCCTTCGCTCCCTCCGCCGCGAGAGGCCGCGATGATACCTGGCGACGTCCTCGCGAAGATCGGTGGGAATCGGCGAAAACGGCAGGAAACGTCAATTTTCGCCAAAGACGCAACGAGACGCGCGATCGCGGTGACTTTGATCCGCGAACAACGGACTTGCCGACCTCGCCGATACGGGATCGCGCGCAGCTAGTTTCTCTCTTTCTAGCCGTTGGCTGACAGATCGCGATCCTCTCGCGTGTCTCCGCCCCGCCGATGACTTTCACAGTCGCGGTGCTATCTCCCTCTTGGACAAATTCGCAAGAGAGCGATCTCTCTCTCTCTCTCTCGGGGAAATCGAGCGCGCGACTCTCGCTCTAAACGGCCGCCCACGCGCGACTTTTCGAAAACGGCACGAAGCGGCTCCTTTTTGCTCGCAAGTGCCCGCCGGGTGCCTCTCGAAACGTTCGCCAAGCCGGGTATTTACGATACTGGCACGCGAATGTCTCTAATTATAGATCGCTGCAACATCCTCTCTCGGAATATGCACTCTGCACTCCGCCGCGTACAGCGAGTGTAATCCGGCATGCCATAAATTCATGGAGATACGATACGACACCCCTCCCCTTCCCCCCACCCTCATTCTTTCCCGAGTTCACTCGATTCAAAGACTTCTATATTATACACTAGACCGATAACCTGTCTCTTTAACACGTCCCCGAAAAGTACGTGTCAAAATTTCATTCGCATGCACATTGCGAGGTCCCGAAAGGGATGTAACTGCACCGTACAGGCATTTCTCTCCGGAAAATGTTAAGGGGGGAATCCTGTATGCAGGGTCAGAAAAATTGATCTTTTTAATTACATTTTCTGAAAATACATATTGTTAAGAGTCTATTCTAAAATCCGTATCGAAAAATTCGGAAAATTACGACCTATTATTCGAAGCGGCGCACAAGTGAAAATCACAGCGCTCACTGTCTTTCAATGTTTCGTCATACAATTATATAGAAACTATAGAAGCTATAGAAACAATCCCACGAAACCTAGGAATGTAAAAAAGAGTCTCATGAAGTCGAGGAGAATTTGTTATATGGACCTGAAATTGCTGATTAAGCTGAAACTTACGCGAGTACTAAAAATATGATTGAATACATGAAACTTTAAGCGTGTTTTTTTTTTTTAATGACTTTGCTTTAACTGGCTCCCATGATTTGAGACAAACTAACGAACCGATCGACTTCAGCATGTACTTACATATACGAAACATGTCTCTCTATCGTGTGAACTAGCGAGATTAAAAAATATTAATTTTTTATATTTATTTTTAACATAAAATTGTCGATTTTTCAAATATAACTCTTAAATGCCTTAAAATTATTGCAAAAGCAGTTCGTTCTTTATTTGCCTAGTTCAGAGGATAGCGGCGAGCTCATAGATTAATTATCTTACTTGCGTTTTTGTTCCAATCCACCGTATCTCGAGATTTCATGGGAGCCGTGAAACGGCGCGCGGCTAAACACGTCACGTTAATTTTTTGTGTATATGCTACATTATTATTCATATAACACTATAAAAGTTCATTCCTACAAGTTAAATATATATTATTATTTCTACCAAGTTTGAAATCAATCATCCGCTTAGTTTCCGAAAAAGAAATTCGTGAAAGTAGCCCATTTTTTTTGGCCTACAGACAGGATTCCCCCTTAATATTTGTCCAATATTTAATATTTCTTCTCGCAATGTCACATTCAATGTTCACATCAATATTAAATGTTGGATAAATATTAACATTTTCTGGAGTGAAAATGCCTATGCGGTGCGGTTATGTCCCTTCCGGGACTTTGTAGTGCGCATGTGCACACGATTCTATGTTTTACATTAGGGACGTTTTTTAGGGGCATGAAAACCAATGAAAGTTATCAGTCTAGCTTATACAGGGTGTCCCATTTAACCTGACAAATCGTAATATCTGGAAAACTACATGTCGGATCAAAAAAGGTGGCTAATGAAATTTGTTCGTCTCGAAGGGGGACATCCAATGATATCAAACTCGACCTCCCACCCCACTCCCGGGGGGTGGGGGTGGGGGGCAACTTTGAAATCTTAAATGGGAACCCCCATTTTTTATTGCAGATTCGGATTCTACGCCACAAAATACGTAAGTTTCGTTCGAAACTTTTTTTTTTATTCGTGATAGATGGCGCTGTAATCGCAAAAAATTAGATTTTCTGCAATTCTCCAGAAATGATCATTGGATTGAAAAATAAAAAAATACCTGTTCAATATTTTTAAAAATATTTTTAAAAAACATAATAACAGTTATTCTCCTCCATCCCCTCGGGGTAGGGTGGGTGGCAACGTTCAAATCTCAAATGAGAACCCACATTTTTCATTGCGGAATTAGATTTTACGTGAAGTTTTTATGGAAACAATTTTTTTCATTCGTGATAGATAGCGTTGAATTTTTCCGAGAAACTACTTTTAGCGTTACCCAGGAACAACGACGAGGACGTAGTAGCTTTCTGTTCCCTTCGGGGTGTTTGTTTTAGGTGAGTCCCCTCGCCTCTCACCATCGGGGTGATTTTGCGTAATTAATTTGTTAGTGGCATCTCTCCATCGTTCAAATTCAACGCTATCTATCACGAATGAAAAAAATTGTTTCCATAAAAACTTCACGTAAAATCTAATTCCGCAATGAAAAATGTGGGTTCTCATTTGAGATTTGAACGTTACCACCCACCCTACCCCGAGGGGATAGGGGGGAATAACTGTTATTATGTTTTATAAAAATATTTTTAAAAATATTGAACAGGTATTTTTTTATTTTTCAATCCAATGATCATTTCTGGAGAATTGCAGAAAATCTAATTTTTTGCGATTACAGCGCCATCTATCACGAATAAAAAAAAAGTTTCGAACGAAACTTACGTATTTTGTGGCGTAGAATCTGAATCTGCAATAAAAAATGGGGGTTCCCATTTAAGATTTCAAAGTTGCCCCCCACCCCCGGGAGTGGGGTGGGAGGTCGAGTTTGATATCATTGGATGTCCCCCTTCGAGACGAACAAATTTCATTACCCACTTTTTTTGATCCGACATGCAGTTTTCCAGATATTACGATTTGTCAGGTTAAATGGGACACCCTGTATATAGGAGTCTGTGATTCGATTACACATGGACTCGATTTCGGGTAAAAACCTCATTGGCGCGTTTCACAAACTGAAACGAGACTCAACCACCGTGAAGCTGTCACTCCGTCGGCGAAAGGTGTCCTCGTCGTGAATTACTATTCAAAATTCTCGATCTGAGTCCGAGAAGGTAGCGCGAGAATGAGCGAAACCGCGGAGTCCTGTATGTCCACCGGTCTCTCGACACTTTTTTCAACAAAACTTTAGAATAGGGCCTTTTCCGAATTTTGATATATTTTTGCTACTTGCTAGATAAAAATCTTTGTTGTGACTGCGACAATGATAACATAGCCCCACAAAAAAAAAGTGGTCGGTACCTAAAACCGGACAAGTATATTCTTATGTATTCTGATCCGCTGAATCCGAATCCGAGGTCAGAATTGGACAATTGCTAGCTTTATCGTCCCTAACCTCAAAAAACTGATCATAACTTCACTTATCAAAATGAAGCTGTATACGGTTGAATTCAGCTTAAAAAATGCAACAATTCTCGTCATTGCAAAAATTTTCAATTTGCAAAAATAAAGATGGTGGGAGGGGGATATAAAAAAATATAATATTTTTAAAAAATCTAACTACACAGTTGTAAGGAGCGTCAAAAACCATACAACTTTTATCTGAATCATCTTTTTTGTATCTTTTATAGTTTCTGAAATATACTCTCTGAAAACCAGGTATACCGATATACCTTGTAAGGGTGATTTTAACCCCTAAATATGAAATTGGGCATGTATGAAAAAATACGTGTCTCTTATTTTTAGCTACTCCACAACATATAATATATATTATAAAATACATAAGAATATACTTGTCCGGTTTTAGGCACCGACCACTTTTTTTTGTGGGGCTGCGTAATCAATGGGGGAAGCCCGAAGAAAATGTTACCGACCTATTTTTTTCAAGTTTTTTCGGATCTCATAAAACTCTGAAGGAAAAATGCACTAAATTTAAGCTATTGAATAAAAGCATAAAAAACTCAATGAACTTTAATAAACCAAAGACATAAACTACTCTTCGCTATAATTTAGACTTTATAATATAAATTTGTGCTTTCGATTCAAGCAGAGCATGATTGTGAATAATGCTCTGCTTTATTTTGCTTGTAATTTATGATACGTCCTACCTTGCGTAGGGGTCTTGCTAATCTTTTCAGTATCCATTTTTAGTATATCGTAGACTCATCTGTTTAGTAAGGCGAAAGATTCGAGTAACAACTGTGAACGGTATTTACTTAATTAGTATAAAACTGATATTTAAAAATTTAAATATATGGAATAAAACTTTCATGTTTTCTCCTATAAAGATCTTAGCCCTCCTCCCCCCTCTGCCTTAATATATATGTAAAACTTTGTATACATATTTTTTTACAGCTAGTTTTGTAAATTACTGAACAAGAAAACGTAGTCTTTGGTATAATAGTACTTCTGAATATTTATCAAAAAAGTTGTTCAAAAAATAAGCGGGTAACATTTTTTTCGGACTCCCCCGACTGATTATCAGTGTCGGAGTCACAACAAAGATTTTTTTCCACGAGAGTAGCAAATAAATATCAAAATTCGGAAAAGACCCTATTCTAAAGGGTTTTAGACGTCAGACCTTTTGTCGGACGCAACAGAAGGCACTTCCCAAAAGATTCGCAGAGACAAGTTCTCCTACTGGACATTTGCCGCGTCCTGAATCATAGCCCGGAAGTACCGAAGCCCAGCCGGGCGAGCACACCGTGTACACAGATGGCTTTCGATTCGCCGTCGATTGTTTCCGAAAGCCGTCTCGCTTCTCGGAGAAAAATGGCTGTCCTCTTAAGGCGAAGCAGTTTCCCGTTACGAGCGAGACGCGTTGGCTACCATCGGCGGCAGTCCGGCGGGGTTTACACGTGGTGCGACGTCAGCGGGAGGACGAAGCGCGGAGGCGGGGGGATCCTGAGGACCTGCCTGGGCGCGGGTGCCACCTGCGGTTCGCTCCTGTACCTCCTGGACAGATCGGTCGAGGCCATGAGTCCCGTTCCGCGCCTGCCGAGCTACCCCTGGGAGTTCCAAGGCTACCTCAAGTCCCTCGACCACTCGGCCGTGAGGAGGGGCTGGCAAGTGTACATGACCGCGTGCTACTCGTGCCACAGCTTGCGTTATGTGCGATTCATGGATCTTATCAACGTGTCGCACACGGAGAACGAGGTCAAGGACATCGCCGCCGAGTTCGAGGTAGATCTGAATTTTCATCGCGCTGCCTACGCGCTTGCATCTCCTGCTGCTCTCGCCTTCTTCGCGCTCCTCCTCCTCCTCCTCCTTCTCCTCCTCCTCCTCCTCCTCCTCCTCCTCCTCCTCCTCCTCCTCCTCCTCCTCCTCCTCCTCCTCCTCCTCCGCTTGGTATCGCCGTCCTCTCGCGCATAATTGCCCCCGGCTTTGCTCGGCCTGCGCGCGCGCGACGCGTAATTCAATTACGAGTTGACTCGCGAGCGACGCGTCGGCTGTCCGCGCAAAAATGAGATTAGCCGCGCGCAGACATTCGCGTCGGTCTCGCCATTGTGCGGCGGAAACGCTGGAAAAAGCCAGATGATGATATCTCCGTAGGAGACACGTAATTGCGGAAAAAGGCGGAAGGATGGCAAGTAGGTCGCCTCGCTGCGCTCGAGCTTACAGCACGCTCGATTTCAGCAGGGCGCGACGGTGTCGCTTCAAGTTGAATCAATGGCCGAGCGCGAAGTTCGTGTGTGTGTGTGTGTGTGTGTGTGTGTGTGTGTGTGTGTATGTGTGCTCGAAATGAAAGCGCGACGGCGTAATTATCGGGGAAACTGCGCACGCCGGCTCTCTTATAAATATCGTAAACACGACGCGATCTTTCGTCCACCGTCCTCTATTTCTTGCTCGCCCGCAATTTACGTCGCTGATGGAGTAACTCGTCGTGTAAAATACGACCGCTCGCGCATCGCCCATCCGTTCGTTAAGGGGGAACACCACTGTGACGAGCCCAAAAAAGGCCCATTTCTACGAATTTTTTTTTTACTACTTAATAAATTATTTAAAGATTGCGGGGAGAGTATATTATTAAGGATACTTTGAAGTAGTTTCATGCAAATTTTTATTCAAAAATAATAAAAATTAACGAAGATATATACAACAGAGTGCCGCGGTCCGTAAAAAATTCTTCTTCCAAAGGTGGGATCGATATCTCTGGCACGGTTCATCTGAAAAAAAAAAAAAAAAACTCAAATATTTTCTTGCATCTGCATAAATGTAGTTTTCATAGTTTTAAGCGCAGCCGTTTTTCTTTTAATTAATTTTTCTCAAAATAGCGGCATGTTAAAAAAAGAAACCTCTATTTTTCCAACATTTTTTCTTCATTCAAGGGGCCTTAAAAAACAGTAGTTTTCAAAATAAAAAAACACAGCTACGCTTAACGAAAACTACATTTATGCAGATTAAGAAAATATTTGAGTTTTTTTCTTAGATGAACCACGCCAGAGATATCGATCCCACCGTTGTTGGAAGGAGAATTTTGTCTTACGGACCGGCACTCTGTTGTATATATCCTTGTAAATTGTTATTATTTTTAATAAAAATTAATTTTTAATAAAATTTTAATAAATCTAATAATTTTAATAAAAATTTAATAATTTTAATAAAATTTTTAATAAAAATTTGTATAAAACTTCTTCAAAGTGACTCCTAGGTAATAATATACTCTTCCCACAATCCTCAAACAATTCATTAATAAAGTAGTAAAAAAAAGAAATTCGTGAGAAGGAGCCTCGACGGCTTTTCCGGAAGAAGCTGCTTTCCCGCCTACGCGCTCTCTCGTCGCTCTCGCGCCGCACTCAACGAGAACGCGCCGCGACGCTTGCCCAGGTGCAGGACGGCCCCGACGACGAAGGCAATTACTACACGAGACCCGGAAGAACGAGCGACCTGATACCGCCCGCGTTCCCGAACGAGCAGGCGGCCAAGGCGGCCAACCTCGGCATGTACCCGTCGGATCTAACCTACTTTGTCCACAGCAAGAGCAACGGCACGAATTACCTGTTCGCCTTCTTGACGGGATGGATGGAGCCGCCGGCGGGCGTCGCTGTGACCGAGCTGCAACACTTCAACGTGTACTTCCCCGGCAACGTGGTGAGCATGCCGCAGGTGAGTGAGCCCAGAGCGCGATCAGTGCTTTCGCGCACGAGCGCCACACTATTTTTTACACGAGGCGTCTCACGGAGAAATTGTCTCTCGAGAAAGAAAATACGTGAATAGACACGAGTACACGTGCGACAGATCCGACATGTTCCGCAGACACGAGAAAAATTGGCAAGAGTAACGCCTCCCCCCCCCCCCTCCGCTCGCATTGTTAGAGACAAGACGGGCGGAACAGCGCGCGGACGGCTTCTCATTGAGAAATCTCTTCAGGTGCTATTTGAGAATATCTTGGAGTACGACGACGGCACCCCGGCGACCATCTCGCAAATGGCCAAGGACTTGGTCGAGTTTTTCACATGGACCGCCTCGCAAGAGTTCGACCAGCGAAAATCGATGTTTATCAGGGCGATGGGAGTCTCTCTCATGTTGCTGGCCTCGACGTTCTATTACCACAGATACGTCTGGTCGTCCATGAGGAGCCGTCAGATCGCATACGTGCCCAAGAGAAGAAAATGTTAGGACGCGTCATCTTCAGCGAATAGAATTTTCAGCGAATACCCGAGGGAGGAAAATTGCTCCTCGACGTCGGGAGGGAAACAACAGACGCGGTCGAAAATTTGCCATCGCGACCGACGACGATCGTTTGCCGCAGTTTCGAGGTCCAAGCAGCAGATTGCTAGAGGAAAAGCGCGAGCGCCGGCGACTCGAATCGGCGACCGTTCGCGGATTCAGATGCACAATAAACCACGAACAGTGATTAATCGTAAATAAAGAAGAGGCGGGGGCGTCGAGCTGAATCGCACTCCGCCGGAGGTTATTTATCGAAGCGGATTTTAGCTCGGCTCCCTTCTCTCTGCCTCTCGTGACACGATGACAACGTAAATCTGTAATTCTTATTTAGAACCGAGACGCGCGCGCGCGCGCGCGCACACATCAACGCCCACGAGCCCCTACAAAGTTGCATCAGAGTGTGCACCTGTACGCGTAAAAATGCGCTCTAAAAATACGCCCGACATCGCGACGGACTGCAGCGCGAATCCCACGCCGCCGTGCTGCGTTGGCTGCGCCCGCGGAATAGCGACAACGACGTTGTCGTCGTCGTCGTCGTCGTGCAAAGAAGAATACGTGCGACCCAGCGCGGGACCGACTGACCGACCGACCGGACCGTTTGACTGGCTTCTTCAGCAACGGCATGCGCGCCGTCGATAATCGTTTCGCAATGCGCGGCCTTGACGATGCCTGTATAGTGGCCGATCGGCCCGTCTAAAAATAGGAGAAGCTCTCTTGCGAGGAGAGAGAGAGAGAGAGAGAGAGAGAGAGAGAGAGAGAGAGAGAGAGAGAACGTCGCGGCAACACACATTAACGTCGTCTCTCACGAGTCGTTAACTCCGGAATGACCGGTGGTTGCTCGCAAGTCCATCTATTCCGCCCGTAATAATATCCCGCGCTCCTACCCCTCCCCCCTCCGCCCCCGCTGCCTGCCACAGACCGACACCTCACCGGCTATTTTAAGGCCGTCGCGTACATAACGACGTCGTGTCCTCCTCACTCACTATTTTTTCCTCCCTGTTTCTCTCTCTCTCTCTCTCTCTCTCTCTCTCTCTCTCTCTCTCTCTCTTTCTCTCCCTCTCTCTCTTCGGCCGCCTTTCGATACGACGATCGACGACGACGACAATAGCGATGATGAAGATGATGACGACGACGACGACGACGACAACGACGACGACGACGACGACGAGGATGATGCGCGATCGCGGAATAGAATGTCGAAAATAATATTGGGCGTTTCGACGGAGGCTATATATAGGGGATGATGCGTCATTGCAGCAACAAGTGAGGCCTGCGGGCGAGTGGATGGGCGGAGGGGCGGGAGGGAGGGAGGAAGGGAGGGGAGCAGGACAAATCGAAAATATACGGAACGATGAATGAAGCCTCCGCATTGACGTCGCCAAGACGCGCCGATGCCGAGATTATACAACGAGCCGGGTACTGTTTTCGAATGCACCTCCGTCGACGACGGCGACGGCGGGGTCTCCGAGATACGCGGTGGATATCTCGAAATATCATCGATCGCTCCGGGATAGAGATTTATCGTACTCTCGGCGGCAAGGACGGATGGACGGCAGCGAGGGAAACGATGTGACGTCGACGCACGACGTGAGAGGCGAAATGCGAGGATCGCGGAATTGCCGCAATAATCGCGGTAAGAATAACTCGTCGAGCAACGTAGATACGTCGCGCGAGATGAAAGCTCGATATTAGAAACGAGCGCGCGCGCGAGGAGAGGAGAGGAGAGTTCGGCCGCGCGAGATCGACGAGCCGTCGAGACGAATTCGCGAGGGCCAACTCGGCTGAGCCAGAGGCTTCTAAGGGAGGATTCAGGGAGGATTCATACCTAGACAGGAAAGAAGAAAAGCAGAAAACAGAAAAGCAGCGACCAGTCAGAAGTCACGCCGGTAGTCTGTCCTTTTCTTCCGTCTCTTCCTTGAGAAAGAGAAAGAAGAGAATCCTCCCTTCAGGGAGGGATTCCCTTAGGGAGGATTCACACCTGAGCAGTAAAGCAGAAAACAGAAGGGCAGTAGCCAATCACAAGTGGCGCTGGTAAGTCTGTCTCTCTTGCCAGAGCTTTTCTCTCTGTCACTCTCTTAGCCTCTACTGTCTCGCTTTCTGCTTTTCTGCTCAGCTGTGAATGCGCCCTTAGGGAGGATTCACACCTGAGCAGAAAAGCTGAAGGCAGAAGGGCAGTAGTCAATCGCAAGTGGCTGATAGTTTGTCCTTCTCTTCTGTCTCTTTCTCAAGAGAGAGAGAGAGAGAGAGAGAGAGAGAGAGAGAGAGAGAGAGAGAGAGAGAGAGAGTGAGAGAGATTATCAGCGCGACTTCTGATTGGATGCGGCCTTTTTGATCTCCGCTGTCAAGTGTGAATTCTCCCTAACGCGTGCAACGCACACATTTTTCCGCCTCGTGTGGCGTCGCAACTTGAAGAAAAAAAACAGAGAGGAATTAGAAGGAAATATTGCACGGAATATTCCACGGGACGATTCGGCCTCGTGTCGGCGTATAAATTAGAAACACGGATTGTAATTTCGAGTGATTAATTCAGCGAAACCGAATTGCAAGAAAGGAGCATATCACGTGTCACATTAGGCTAGATCCTGACACGAGTGTCTCGAGTAGCCGACGTTAAATCTTGCGAAAAAGAGGGGGGGAGAGAGAGAGAGAGAGAGAGAGAGGCGGGAAGGGACATCATCCGGATAATTTACTGTCATTACTCACCCGGATTACTTATGCAAATATTTTCGGTTGAGATGGCACACGTGGATGCTAATCGCGCGAAATGTTTCTCGTCGACGGGAGAAGAAGAAGATCGATCCTTTCGCCGAAAATTCAAGCGTCCGCGCGCACCGTTGATGCAAATTACGCGTTTTCGTCGGATCGAAACAGGTATTGAGCGTCGGCTGCTCGTTCACGGCGAACAATTTGGCACAAATCTAGAGACACCTGTGACTTACTACGCGCCCGTTTTATTTCGAGGGATATATACAGGGCGTTGCAGAAATAGCTGGCTAAACTTGAAGAGCTGTACTGACTGCACGGATGAAAAGAGATCGTGCAAACACGGGTCCAGAAACGCTTCTTTTCCAAATTGTAGGCACCTTTTGTTTACACCAGACTCACCTTTGGCGAGAACATTTCATTGAAGAAATCGTTGGAGATGATTTCTCCTTTCGCGCCAATGCGTGCCTCGCATCGACGTCTCATGGATTGTTCAAGACGGAAATTCCCGCAGCATTTTCTACTTCATCACACCGAGTGATAATACGATTTCGGAGTACTTTCATAGTAACAACAAGAGTCTCATAAACGAGAGTCTTGAGATAAATAAACATTCAAGGAGTTTAGATCGGAAGATTGTGCAGGCATCCTCCTCTACCAGTCCATCCACTGATGTAATTATTATATTATTCAGAGATATAATACTAATTAATAAAAGTATCTGCAAGTTGGAAAAGAAGCGTTCCTGGACCCGTGATTTTCCCATCCTTACAGTGAGTAGAACATGCTCTTCAGGTTTGGCTATCTTCTCCTGAAACACCCTGTACATATATGTTTTTTTAGCAAATTAGACGCAAGCTCTCAACGAAGGAATGACACGTCGCTCGCATTCCCGTGCGCGGAAAGTACACACATTTCAACGATCGCAGTCGGGTTACAGCCCGACGGCGAGAGCAAATCGACGCGATAAAAGAAGCGAGCGCGTGGAATCCTCGATAAATGAAGACTCCTCGCGAAACGACGCGGCACGCTTAAAGATAGAAAGCTCACAAATAGATCGCGCGCGAGAGACGCACGCGGCTTCGTGTTTGAATGAAGCCCGCGGATTGACGTCACGGACATGCCGAACGTCGCCTATCGTTATCTAAGAAGAGACGCTTGTTTTGTGAAATCGCGCGCTGCCAGACGCCACCGAAACTTCGAACCTGGAGGCTCACGTCGAGCTCTCGAAATAGCGAATCCCGGCCGAAAATAACTTCGCACTTTCGCTAATATGGCCATATGGCGCGGCTACGCGATGAAAATACGCTCGCGAAACGCCGAAGCCCATATCCACGCCCGTGCATTTCGAAGCTAAATGCGACCGCCCGGTATTTCGCCGAGTCGCCCGTTTAAATAGTCTTCCGTTGAAACGGAGCCTACGAGGAAGCTCAGAGCGGATGGTAATGTCGCCCGTTCGTCGCCGGCTATGAACGCGTTTATCGCGCGCCATTCAAAAGATTATCGCAGTCTTTAGACGTCCCGTGCAAAATTAGGGTTCCGCATCGGTAAGAGTGACATCGATATTTCACATCGAAATTAACATCGGAACTTAACATTGATATGCGATAAATGTCGACTCTACAATATCGATATTTATTCGACATGTTTTTGTTCAAAATTAAATTCTTCTATTGTATATTACTATATATTATACAAAATTAATTTCTTTTTACTTAATTTTATTTATTTATTTGACGCTCTACGGGTAAACACCCTTTGGTATGTATCAAATTGAGATGACTAATATAATGAAGATCATCAATCAAACTTACATATAATGAAAAGTATTAAAATTATATATGTCAATTAATGCATAAAGATTGCGATATAATAAAAGAATTATGCAATAAAAGAATTACACAAGCAAATAGTGTTAACCGAACATAAAAAATTCACAGCAACATGCACTCATCAAAGATTTTTCTATTGAGAAATACAAGCTATAGAATAAGAAAAATGAGAATAGACGATATAAACAGGACGTATCTCAATTCTTAGAGGTTCCACAAATTCTTATTTACGGATTGTAAAAATAATATGACAATTGATTATTTCTTGACCGTAAGGAGAATAATCGACTGTGATTGGTTAATTTTCTTACTGTTTACGTTTTTCTTATTTACTCATGGGAGTTTTCTCGTTAACTACAATGTCTGCACTATCTTGCAATTTTTTTCTTCCACTTTCCTTCTTAAACTATTTACTTTTTAAACTAAAACTATTTGTCTTAAAGTTATGATTTTTTTCATAAGTGGGACATATATGTCCTAAAGATACAAAAGAGTTGAATATGTAAAGACAGAATATCGAAAGAAAATATCGATAAAATATCGATGTATCGCAAGGCGTTACATCGATGGCAAAATATTAAAACATCGAAAAGTAACCATCGATGATCACTTGACATCGATGTTTTTCGCGGGTCCCTAGTGGAAATGACAGTAATTTTGTCGTCGGGACGCGAGGTATCGAGAACGCGTCTGAAACAAATGTGCGCAAAAGGCAGCCGGACTGCACACATACACACACACACACACACACACCTCTGAAATCTTATTCTCTCCTTCTCTCAGGTAAAAGCAAATATTTGGCTGAGCGTGCTTCCGCTACTGTCCAATTCGTCTTGCTCGTCGGGAATTCACTCGTCAGTTAAATTTGGCTCCGAGCGTGTACTTAACGATCTTAAGTGAGTCTTCCGGGGCGTCGTCGGTGGTCAGCCACGATCGAAGAAAATCTTGGCACTTTTGATCGCGGGGCAATCTCAAGAAGCCGATTATCCGGCCGTCTCTCTCATTTCCTCGCGCCAACGCAGCCGCTTGTTAAAATAGAAGATCACGCAGTCTTCCCCAGCCTGCCTCTCTTCCCCCCCCTCTCTCTCTCTCTCTCTCTTGTTCTCTCCGTGTCTTCTCATTTTTCCTCTTCCGTCCCTTGCCTTACCTACCGCCACGTTTGCTTTCGTACTCGCGTCGGAGGTCGGCGCGAGTTAGCCCATATAATTAGTTTAATAGGTTAG